GGATCTCAGAAACAGATGGTAAATGGGATTCAGTGCTAAGCATGTGCCGACACTTCAGTCTGCACTGAAGGTTTGTGGTCCAAGACTTTATATACACTGGTGTTGAGGGCTGAAGCTTCATGTGCTTCTAGGTGGTAAAATATTTATCTTACCTTTGAGCTGCAGGAGGAAGTCCCAGGGTGGGGAGGGAAGTGGAATTTCTTGCTATTTTGTAGAAGGTCACCCACAAGGCCTAGTGAAAAGATCCCTTAACACTAGGAGACCTGACCCAAAGTAAAGGAGCTGGCCATGCAGAGGCCTGGGGAGGTACAGCACAGCAGATAAAATAGAAGATCGGGGGCCTGAGGGCTAAGGGGACGGCTTGCCTGGTGCCCTGAGGGAGCACTGAGGCTGGAGCTGTGGGGAGGGTGATCGGCCTTGCAGGAAGTTATGATGATTTTGGCTTTTACTCGTGGTAAGTGGGGAAACCTTGGGAGGGTTATAAGTAACGGAGTGACATCATCTGCCTGCTATTTTCTGGAGACCACACTGGGTATGGGGCTGAGAACAGCCTGACCTCAAGCCAAGGTGCTCTTTGTGTTTGCCCTCCCACCGTGACAGCAGCTCGGTGCTATGAAGGAAGCAGCAAAGGAAGACAAGTCAAAGGGAGAATACAAAGGCACCGCTGAGTGCCTGCTACGTGACAAATGCTGTATTCAGACCTTTTCACATGCTCCTGGTGGACATATATTTCTGGTGTTCCTGGAATGGTCCCATCAACACCGGTTATTCTCACATACTCATTAACAGAGTCTTTCTCCTTTCTAAAGAAATGTCCTGGCTTGGATGGTGAATTTTAATGGTGATCATGATCTAATCTAATAATAAGATTAATGTGCCCCATTTCAGAGGCAAACTGACCAAGACTGAGAAAAGCGGTGCACCTTGCCCTCATTCGGAAGCCAGTGATTGAGACCAAGACTTGAATCCAGACTCTGCTTCTCTGAGCTCCAGCTGTTTCCTCAATGAAAGGGTCTGTCCCTGACCGAAGCCCACATTTCTCCCTTGAGCCTGGGCACTGTGGTAAAGGCTAAAGCATGAAAGGAAGCCTCCTTGTTTTTTCAAACTTATCTTATCTTGGTTATTATCATCCACAACTTGCTGTAAGATATCAGAAAGTGTTTCAGAAACACACATATTTTCTCACTACTTAAAGTCTGATAAATGCACATATTTGGAAGCAGACACATTTCCACTACGATGGTACTTTCTTACAGTCACAGATAGTTATTTTCTATTTCAGAGCAAACCGCTAAGCACACCTGTGCCCTTGCAGAAACCTAGCATCCAGCACTTCCTCACACACACATGTGGCCCAAGGCCCCACTTCACATCGTCATCTGTCTCTCCTGAAGAAAGTCTGGAGCCAGAACGTGTGAAGCAGCTATGGTGAGTTTAGTCGACATTCTTATCATCTCTGGGCCATCCCCACCAGCCATTAACTAAAGATTTTTACAGACAACCAACCAAGGGCGATCGGCAGCTCCTGGTGCCTGTCCCCAGAAACAGGGCGGACGGTGAGCAAATCGGAGCTGATGTGGATGCGTTCAGCTTGGCATACTAGTGCCTGGGAGGCGACTGCTCTGATCCCACCAGCAATCTAGCTCAGCCCCCAAAGAGTGGTGATTTATAGACAGATAATCTCGAAAAACCTTTTCTTTTGAAAACATTCCAGTTACCATTTGAAAAGAAGAGGCAAAATCACAAAATTAATTGGCTCGAGTGTTAAGTGCCAATTATAAGGAAAAGGACTCTTTTCTCGGCCACTAAATTAAAAAATAAATAAAACCCTCAAGGGTGTCACTAGAACTCTATCCAGCCTGGCAAGCCTAAGCATTAGTAGCTTCATTAAAAACAAAAAGTGCCCCTACATTATTCTTCGTGTTCTTCCCTGGGCTACTTCAAAACATTTTGACAGATGGACAGACATATCCCAGAATGAAGGTCAACCCCTCCTTTCAAACCCAGAACAGAGAAGCACCAACACAATGGTGTGAGTTTGCTCTGCCTCCCTTGATGTCACAGAAATAGTAAGTGAACCTGTCGGTGGCACCAAGAATGACTTCCCAAAAGCAACACTAAGCATGACCAGACTGCCCCTTGCTCATCAGTAGGTTTTGATCCCTCATTAATTCCTGAACATTGATGTGTCGTTATTTTTTTATTTTCCTATTTTAATGATTTCCCCCTCAATGTCTGGGAAAAGGGCAGCTGAATTGATTTGCCAGAACTGGAATAAAATGAAAAGACTGGACCAGATTAGCTTTAGGTGTCATGTATTACATGATATTACTTTATAGTAGAAATTGCTGTAAGAAAGGGTTGGTGTGCTTCAGCTAAGAAATTACCCCTCTAAATGGGAGATGCTAATGGGTAAAGTTTCATTAGCTAGTTTGGGAAATGGATGAACAGAAAGATGCAGAGGAGACATGCTGAGCTTTTATTGCTGCTCAAGTTAAATGAACCCCAAAAATCAATAGTTCATTTAAAGTACAATGAGTTTCTTTTGTATCTTGAATTTTTTTTAAAAACCCACACAACTGCTTTCTATGTTTTTGCATGCAATGTAGTTGTGCAATTGAGTTTAAGTAAAGTTCTTTTTTAAATAATGCAGCTTTTAAAAACACAATACATTGAGAAATAACTAGTATATCAGACCAATAAGATTTCTTCTGTTTCTTATTGGCATCATGGATTTAAAAGTTCTTTTATATATCACTTTTAGAAAGAATGGATTCTTGACAGATGTTAGCAACTTGGTGAATAGTATAAATAGGTCCTAGAATTCTAGACTGCTAGATATTAGCTCTAATTTTTTCCTCATACATCCTCTGTAATTTCTAACATTCCTATATTAGTTAAGAATGATTCATGTAGCAGAGCATGGATCATTTTCTGAGTCTTTAAAAAATTTTATTCAATTTATTTAAACAACATAAAAAAGACAGTTGACCCATTTCTCCCAAACCCCAACCCTCTCCACTTGTAGTCACTAATCTGTTCTCTGTATCTGAGCTGGTTGTTTTTTGTTTGGGTATTTTTCCACATATAAGAAAGATGATACAGGATTTGTCCTTCTCTGTCTGGTTTATTTCACAGCATAATGCCCTAGACATCTGTCCATGTTGTTGTAAATGTCAAGATTTCAATTGATAACCACTTAAATTATTTCCACACCTTGGCTATTGCAAGTAATGATGCAATGAACATGATACTGCATGTATCTTTTTTAATTAGTGTTTTCATTTTCTTTAGATAAACACCCAGAAGGGAAATTGCTGGACTACATGGTAGTTTCATTTTTAACGTTTAAAGGAAATGCCGTACTGTTTTTCACAGTGGTTGCACCATGGCATGCCTACCAACAACAGCGCATAGGATTCCCTTTTCTCCACATGCTCAGGTTGGGATGTGGTAGCTCAAAGCATCAGTGAGCTGTGGAGGGAAGCCTTCTGAGGAGAGCCGAAGAGAAGAAACCGATGAAAGGGCAGAGAGAGGGGAGACGACAGACCGAACATGTTAACTGCAGCCATGAAAACTGAACAGCTTCTGGGGAACAGGAGCCCTGTCTGAATCATCTTATGTCCTCTGGTTCCCATTACACTAGGCAGCTAATGCCCACTGTATACATATGTTTACCTTACTTGTGTGGAATGGCAGGATAGACCATGAACAGGTATTAAAGATGATGAGGGTGAATTGCCTGATGAAATGCGGGGGCGGTAAGCAAGAAAGAGGACAAAGCTGAAGATGAAATGTTAGTCCTCTGTGTAAAGTTAGCAACAGAAGTTAGGGAGAGGCTCAAAAAGATAGTGACAAATCAAGTATTTAAATCCATGTGTTCAAGGAAAGAGAATCACGTAGAGGTAGTGATTTAAAAAAAATTTTTTTAATGGAGGAAACAGTAAAGAATTATGTTTGTATCATATAACCGAGGTCAGGGTGAGAGACATATTTAATAACAATGATGGTAATAGCTAGTATTTATTACATGAGTCTATGTACCAGGAAGACTAAGTGCATAGTCTCATGACTCAAAACAATCCTGTGACATAGGCACTAGTTTCATCATTTCACAGATGAGGTATTCTGGCTAAGGATAGCACAACTAAATACATCACCAAGCCAAAACTAAACCAATGTGTCTAGTTCCAGAGTCCCTAGAAGTCTCTGCCTATTCAAATGAGAGATCAACAGTGTCAAATGCAGTAAGGAATTCTAGGACACAGAGAAAACACACAGACATACATTTAATTTAGGACAAATGGCCATTGGTATCTACTTGGAGAATATCTTCAACACAGCAATGAAAACAAGGTGATTATCAGAGATACATGGAATGGATAGAGAAAAATTAAGGCAGTGTGTGAGTTCACTTTTAGGCAAAACAAAACAAACAAAAACCTGAGTGAGGGAATTTAGGTGCTCCTAAATTCATGATTGATAATATTGACTACCTGTATAGACAAGACGAAAGCCACATTGAAATGGCTAGCAAACCATTTGCAGAAAGATGAATTGACGACACACATAATACATCCTTGTATGTACATTTTCACCTTTGAACAACCATGCAAGTGTTAATCCTAAAGCCTGATGTTCTAAATAAGGAAAGCTACAGCCTCAAGCTAAATCTTCCAGCATCTGTTTTTGTACAGTCCAGGAGCTAAGAATGCTTTTCACTTTTCTTAATGGTTAAAAAATTAAAAAACAGAATATTATTCCTTGATAAATTGAAATTATATAAAATTATAACTACAGTTCCCACAAATATTTTTTTTTAAATACAGCCACACTATTACTTTACATATTATTCATAGGACCTGAACAGTTTCAAGACTTTATGATATCCTATTCTTTGTGTCTGGATCTTTACTGGAAAAGGTTCCTATTCTCTGTTCTATATCATTTCAATTATTTTCATCTTTAATGTCAATCACAAAGGAAGCAAAATTAAATACCTGGCAAAGATGCTTTGTTAGTTCTCACAATGGGCATTTCTTTCCATGTATCACCATCATTTTCATTCTCAGCTATCCAGGAGTCAACAGTTAGACAAAACAGCTCACATGTGTCTATGTTTTCAAGTTGAATTTCTTCCAGATACCACCTGGGGTCCTTTCCACTGTTGTCATGTCCAATACGTATTTTATAGATTTCACCAATATCTTTAAGATTAATCTGCAACACAAAGGAGAAAGGGGAAATAAAATTTCCTACATCTCTGATCTGATTTGTCAAATTACAAATTCATATTCAATTGTGAACTCAATATTTACTCCCCCCCTAAATATTTCTTACTAATTTCCTTTAAAACTAGTTACTTGTAAATGCTAGTACTTATGGCAAAGCATAAATTCATTGACCATGGACAAACTAATGTATTAAATCCAGCTAATTTTCACTACATCTTTTTTTTTGGCAACTCACTGTTATTACCTTGAAAAATAAATGTTTTATTGTAATTATTGATATCCACTATTATTCAGTGGTTAGACCTAAAGAAAATAATCTAACTTTCTGGAGTCTATAATACATTATGGGTTTTTTTTTTTCCTATTAAAGTGAGGTCCCAAGGAAAAGAAACCATATATGCTTCTGAGTTTAAACTAGGGCTAATCAAATAGCCCTGAAACAGAATGACTTTGTACTGGAGAGTGTGATTTTCCGTCCCCCCGCCCCCAGTTTTACTGAGAAATAATTAACATGCAGCATTGTACAAGTTTAAAGTGCATAGCATGATGGTTTGATTTACAATAGGTTCAACTAACATCCATCTTCACACATAGACTAAAAAGAAAAGAAAGAAAAATAAATATTTTCTCTTTGTGATGAGAACTCATAGAATTTATTAGCTGTAGTCATCATTTGTACATTACACCCCTGGTACTTATTTACCATATAACTGGAAGTTTTTACCTTTTGACCATCTTCAAAAGATCAGTTTCTTAGACATGATACAAAAAGCATAATCCATAAAAAAAAAAACCTGATAAATTGAATTTCATCAAAATTCAAAACTTTTGCTCTGTAAAAAACCCTACTAACAGGATGAAAATTCAAGCTACAGAATGAGAGAAAATACTTGCAAATCACATGTCTGGAAGAGAACTAATAATATCTACTGTATATTATTTATATATTCACATATATCCACATTTACCTATAGAGTATATATCCTTTAATTAATGTGAATAGATATATATGTGTAGATAAAAACAAAACCAACTTCTCAAAAATCAACATTTAAAAAAAAATGAAATGATCAAATGATATAAAGAGCCACTTTGCCAAAAATGATATGCAGATTACAATAAGCACATGAAAAGATGTTTGCAATAGAGAAGTGTATATTAAGACCACAATGAGCTATCACTATACATGTTTTAGGACAGACAAAATAAAAAAATAATGACTACACCAAATGCTTGCAATGATGAAAAAAAAACAAAAAACTCATGAGATCACTGATACATGTTATACGTAAATTGCCGGTGAGAGTGTAAAATAGTAGCCCACCTGGAAAATAGTTTGGCAGTTTCCTAAAATAAAAAAGTAAACATACACTACCATACCTCTCAGCAATTACACTGCTGGCCTTTATCTCCGAGAAATGAAAACTGAGCTCCATGCAAATGCCTGGACACAATTGTCCTAACAACTTTATTTATAATAGTCCCAAATCAGAAACAATCAAAAATGTCTCAGTAGGCAAATCATTAAGCAAACTGTGGTACCGCCACACAATGGACTACTATCAGCCATGGAAAGGAATGAACTATTGATACATGCGGCAACTTGGATGGATCTGAAGGGCATTATGCCAAATGAAGGGGGAAATAAGCTAATATCAAAACACCACCGACTGTAAGATTCCAATTATATAATATTCTCAAAATGACAGAATCATAGAGATTAAAAACAGAATAGTGTTTTCCAGGGATGGTGGTGGAACATGGCTGAGCTGGGGGCTGTGGCCATAAAGCGATAGCACCAGGGAAATCCTTGGGGGATGAGAGAGCTCTATACATACGTTGATAATGGAGGTGGTTACATGAACCTATGCACCTGATTAAATGACATAAAAACTATTCGTACAGATTGTACCTATGTCAAAAATCTTGATTTGATATTAAGCTATAATTAGGTAAAAGGGAAACAATTGGAGAAAACTAGATGAAGGGTACATGGAATATTTCTACAACTTCCTGTGAATCTAAAATCATTTTTAAAAGAAAAAATATTTGAAATGTACTTATAAGCATTTTATTATAATTAGAAAGGCCATTTAGAGGTTTCGCTCCTGGGAGATGATTTTGTCTGCATAGTTCTTCCTCTAGGCACTTGGCTAATTCACCATTTTGGGGCCCACATGACCTCACTCTACTTAGCCATTGTGTATGGCATGGGGCAGAGGCAGTCCTTCCTCATCATACTGTAATACAGTGTCTGCTTCTTCCTGGACTATTTGAATTACTCACAAGGCTCTGTACGTTTTTCTTCCTTCCCATACAGATAGAAACAAATACATTTTTGTACATAAATAAAATAAGAAACAAAGCATATATTCATGGTATACACAATAAATTTTCACTTTTTAAATTTAATGCATATGTATCTATAGAAGATATAAACAATTTGCAAAATGTAGAAGAGAAAGAATTTACCTACAATTTAAATTATTAATGATTCGCTTTTCTAACTTCTTTCTTTTATATTCCAGGTAATGAAAACTATGCTGTGTTGAATGACATCAAAACTATCCAAAATCATGGTTGATACACTGAAAGCTAACATTCCTACAATCAAATATGCTACTCACTGGGTAATTTTTTGTCACAATTTGCAAATTGTTTAGGTCCTTGATAGAAGTTAATTTATTAAAATTTCAAATGACATGAAGCTTTACAGGAATCCTATTTATTAACACCCTTTTATTTATTAAAACCATAAGTAATAAAACAAACTATTATATATTATACCCTTCTTTGCAGGACGGCATTTTCTACATTTCTTATTCTCTTTTCTCTTTTGAATATAATTACTAATTCATGGCTTTTCACAGTCTCTCCTTGTTTCAATTAACTGTTACGATTATTATCACTATTGTGAAGATGGCACTTCCAGCTTAGCCAGGGAAAGCCCCTTTATATTCACTCTTCTGTCTGTCAACACCGCCTTTGACATTTTGAAGCTATCATTGACTCCAGAAACAGAAGGCTACTGCAGACCAATTCTGTTGTTGTTGTGTTGTTTTTTTCCTGATCGAAGACAAAGAATGAATGTATCTTGATTCTTTTAAGCGCTAAGTATTATTCGAGACAAAATGTGGGCACCAGCAGACACATGTGGGTTGTGTGTGTGTGGAAATGCAGCTGCCTTTGGGACAATGAATGGTGGCAGATTAGTAAAAGCCATTTCCCGCTTTCCCCCTTATCTTGATGCTTCTTCTCAGGGTATATTCTCCTTACAGATCTTCTTGTGGGTTCCTGGGGACCAGGGCTCCTTTTACTTTTGGGCGGACATCAGTCTCCTTCCTAACTGTGTTCTGGGCCCTACAGTCAGGCACCTCACCTCTTGTCCAGCCCACCCCTTCTCTGTCCTGTGTGGTGAGGTCAGAACTGATCACCGCTTGAGTTCTCTGCAGTCTCCAGCGCTTCACTCCTAGATTCCACCTCACCTCATGGCCTTCCTACTTTGGCTACTCCATCATTTCCTCCTTCCTTGGCTCTGTGGTTTCTGGGATTTGCAGTATCACTGCCTTGTTCTGAGACTCTGGCAGTCATTGCCTCTGAAAGTAGTTCAAGGGGGCAAACAGTGGCTGGCTATTCCCAGTGGCATGCACCCTGAGTAAGGCGGGGTGCTACCACACACCTTCCACCTTTCCCCAGTCAGGGGCTCCCCTAGAGGGGACCTGGGCCTCCAGCTCTGACTCAGCTCCTCTTAGATGCCCTGCATCCTAGGTCTGTGGTTACTTTTAGTTTTCCATGTTGAGATTTCTCACTGTTACCGAATCTTAATGTGTTGGGAGATAGATGCTATTCTGAAAAGCCTCAGGCTAAATAAATCTAATGGCTTTTTATAAAACAGCATTTCTTAGAAGCAAGAGGACAGGAAATGTCCTGCCAGAACAGGCCATCATTAGCAGAAGGTTTATTTCAGGTACGGTTTGCATTCTGCAAAGACACTGCTTACTGAATCCATTTCACAGTTGAGGAGATTGAGCTAAAGTAACTGGTCCAAGGTTGCATTAGCAGCATGTAAATTAAAATGCAGGTGCAGCGCACATTTGGTTCAAAACTGTCAGTCAAATTATTTCCTAACCAAGGCAGCTTAACATGGCCTGGGCGTGAGAAAATGACTGAACCAAGTGTTGTCAATGTACTGAATCTCTGAGATGTTAAAAATGATTAAAGAGTTTTATTTGTATCTTTTTCCTTATTTTATAGAAAAATTCTGCTTGTGAGCATTTAGGTTGGTCAAACTTTCTGATAGGAAATACAAGCTCTATAAGGAATGGTCACACTTTCCAATTATGAAATGGCATCCATAGTTCTTTTCTGAAAATAAAATGAAGTAGGCCACATATTAATTATGACTTTCTCTGTAAGTGGAATTTTGCAATACTTTAATCCAAGTCTAATAAATTAAAATAAAGAGTGCATATTACTTTTAGGAAACATTATATATGTCTGTATGAGCATCAATAGAATTAACAGGTGGAATAATGAGGCATTTTATTTTTTTATTTTTATTTTTTTTTTGGTTATTCTCCCATTTCTTTTTATTATTTCTCTATTTCTTTTTTTTTTTAATTAGTTAAGGTATTACAAATGTGTCCTTATCCCCCCCCCATTAACCCTCAACCTCCCCCCTCACACACACTCATGCTCCCATCCCCCTGTTGTCCATGTCCATTGGTTTGGAAATTAACTGTGACCATTCCCTCTGTGTTAAACACAGTTTTATTCTGCACACAGACACATATTTCACTTTCACAGAGTCACCAACATTTTCTACATAGTTTTCAAATGACAAATATGAGCTATCACTCTGAAAAATATTAATATTAGCAAATAGAACTTCAAGGCAAGCATCTATTTTTTAAAAAATAAAGGGTGGGGTAAAAGTAGCTCTACAATTGTTTGCATGGAAAATAATACAATAATTAATGTTATAAT